TGTCGGGGTCCTGGCACTCATCGATATCTGCAAGTCGAGGTCCAGAGGGGAGACCAACCTCAGACGAGCCTTACAGGCTTCGGGACAGACAGACAGACACACACACACACACACCCAGCCCATCTCCGAGCGGGGTCTCAGGGACAGGTTCCATAAACAGCCCCTCCAGTGACAACTCCAGCCTCTGTGTTCCTGTCAGGGGCATGGCCTCAGCTGAGCTGTAACATCCATCCCACTGGGAGCCATGCTGAGAGCCACAGATGTTCAAGGGGCCAGTCTGCAGCCCCTGATCCTCACTGAGCAGCTCCCCAATACCCACTTCACAGGAGGAAGCCAGGGCTCAGAGTTCTAGCCTCCAGGCAGCTCCCTGCTCCCCAAAACACCACTTCAGGGAGGCATAGAGCCTGCCCCCTGGGGCTCACCTTCGCATCTCCTCTGGTCCACCAGCCGGAAGCCCTCGGGGCAGAGACACTCGTGGCCGATCTTGAGGTCCTGGCAGATGTGGGAGCAGCCTCCTTTGTTGTCCAGACACTCGTTGGTACCTGAGGCCCACAGGGGAAGGGGAGGGGATGGACCCTACGGTCAGCCTGAGGCCTCCAGCCCTCCTGTGCCCTGCCACTCGGCAATCAGAGTCCAGCAGCTCTAGTGCCTCGGAAGAAAGGCCTGGTGATCCATCAGCCTTGGAAAGCTCGTGGAGCGCGGTTTCCGCCAAGACACCCGGAATTGCCCAGAGGACAATTTTAATAATCACACTCCCAATGAGAAGGGAGGTTGTGATCCCAGGCGAAAAGAAAACAAACACACAAACCCAGGCCCCTGTCATCAGTCGGTTCTGACTCATAGCGACCTTACACGACGCGGTAGCACGGCCCCATTGGGTTTCTGAGGTTCTCATCTTTACAGAAGTCTGCGGTCGCTGCTTTCTCGTGCGGAGTGACTGTTGGCTTCAAACCACTGTCCTTCCCCTTCGCAGCCAAGCACTCAACCACGACCCCCACACTGTCGTTAGATGCCACGGAGTCCACTCCGACCCACAGCAACCCCGTGCACAATCGAACAAAACCCTGGATGGTCCTTCACACGGAAGCAGCCACGGTGTACATGCATTTCATCACAGGCCTGCCACTTGACCAAACACAGCGCCCTCCTCCAGGGACTGGTCTCTCCTGACAATATGTCCGAGGTACGTGAGACAGAGTCGTGCCGTCTTTGCTTCTAAGGAGCACACTGGCCTTACTTCTCTTGCAGCGCAAATCAGTTTGTCCCTTCAGCAGTCCGTGGTCCTTCCCCCATTCTTCTGCAGCCCCACAATGCTAACACACTGATTCTTCTAGAGCAGTGCTTCTCAACCTTAATGCCCCGACCCTTTCATACGGTTCCTTATGTGGCGGTGACCCCCAACCTTGACATTATTTTCATTGCTACTTCCTCACTGTCATTTTGCGACTGTTATGAATCATCATGTAAATATCTGATATGCAGGATGTGTTTTCATTGCTACAAATGGAACATAATGAAACATAATTAAAGCCTAGTGACTAATCACATATTATGTAATTATATGTTGTGAAATATTTGTGTTTTCCGGTGGTCTTAGATGACCTCTGTGAAAGGGTCGTTCGACCCCCAAAGGGGTCGTGATCCACAGGTTGAGAACCGCTGTTCTACAGTCTTCCATATTCAATGTCCAACTTTCCTGTGCGTATGCTACAGTAGAGAAGACCAAGGCTTGGGTCAGGTGGACCTTAGTCCTCAAAGGAGCATCCTTGCTCTTCAATGCTCTGAACAGGTCTTGCCTCACTAGGGCTACTGACTCTGACCTCTAAGGGGCCCACGGCTGACCACAGCGACGTCAACGAGCTCACTCGCCTCCTCCCCACAGCCCTGATGTGGCTGAACGAGCACCGTCCCATTTCACAGAGGAGCAAACGGAGACAGGGCCAGGGAGCGCGACACGGCTCACTCTCCCGCAACTGGACTTGAACCCAGGGCCGTTCGCTCCAGAACCTACACGCTGCCCCTCTGCCCTAGGGGATGGGCCAAATCTACCTGCCACCTGCCTCTGGCAGCCCTTAGGGGGCCAAGCACAATGAATACTCACAGCTTTCAATCGGGGGGGTGGGGGGTGGGGTGGGGACTGAAAACAAAAGTAACCTCTGAGGACACATCAGCACGAGATGCGATTCAAACCCAGGGCCAGGCGACGGACAAAGTCCTGGGGAAGCCAGCCAGGCGCCCTGGTGGTGCCGGAGGTAGGTAAGAGAAGGGTCGGCAGCAGGAAGCCCCACCACCAGCGGCTCCGAGGGGGAAAGGCAGGCAAGGCAGTTGGAGCCGTCTAGGCGGACGGCCTCGGGAAGCAGCCCGCTCAGTCCCTTAGCCTCAGACTTCTTGGCCGAGAGAGCCACAATTCAGTAGCTGCAACAGAGACTAAGACACAGTCCGCAACACAGACTCTCTGGCCCTGTACAGAAGGCGCCCGGGTGGCCTCGTGGGTTATGTGTTGGGCTACTAACCAGAAGGTCTGCACTTGGAAACCACCAGTAGCACCGAAGGAGAAAAACGAGGCTGTCTGCTCCCGTCAAGATGCACAGGAAACCCAGAGGGGCAGTGCTACTCTGTCCTATTGGGTCCACTCGAGTTTGGTTTTCTGTCTGAACCCTGTCCAGGAAAGACTTGTCAATACGATTCCAGACCCGGTTCTGCCTGTTTGAGGGGCTTTTGGAGACCAGGGCCCTAACACCGCACTACCCTCATTCAAAACAGTGAAGAGTCTTGAGAAAGAAGCAGACTTCATGAAGAGGCAAAGAATTCACATGCTCTAGAACTCTTACGGTAGGTGGGCATCGCCCGAAGCCCCTGGTTAGTACCCACAGCTCCCAGGGCACCACCACAGGTGGCCCGGAGCTTCAGAAATGGTAGATGCTTCCTCGACACGCCCAGGAGCTGTGAGCAATGACCAGCCCGTCGGACAGAAGTGAAAATAGGCTCAGAAACCAAGTCACTCCTCGTTGCCCCACCCAGAGCCCTTGGTCAGCATCGCCAGGCCCTCTCCCCAGGACGCGCCACCTGGGCTCCCCAACCACCACCCCGCCCCGCCCCCGAGGGCTGTCTGCACCCGGGGACTCACCGCACTCCTTGAGGGGCTCATCCGACCAGTCTCGGCAGTCCCTGGCCGAGTTGCACACTTTGTCCATGGGGATGCATTCGCCGCTGTGGCACTTGAACTTGTCGGGCCCCTCGCACAGCGTCACTGCAAGAACCAGAGACGGGTCAGGGGCTTCTGAGAGCAGAGAGTTCCCCGACGTGAAGTCTTTCCCAGGAATCCAGGGGAGCATATGCATTCGTAGAACACAGAGACGGACCCCCCCACCAACCACGACCCAGTGGGCATCACTCCAGCAGAGTAACTCAGCCGTGCCTTTAACCACAGCGTGATGCACACACGGCCCATGTTGCGTCGTTCTGCAAACATGGACTCTCCGGTCCTCTCTCAGAAGAGCGGGCCTATCCCTGACCTAAACTACGATGGCCGCCTTTCCCCAGCCATTCTCTCCAATCCCTGCCATCCAGCCGGAGCCGATGCGGACACCGAGCGGCCCCCAGGGCAGAGCAGAACTGCCCCTGTGGGTTTCCAAGACTGGAATGCTTAATGGGAGGAGAGAGCCTCGTCTTGCTCCCACAGAGCAGCTAGTGGTTTCAATCTGCTGACTTTGCACTCTGACCAGCAGCCCAACGAGGCCACCGGGGCTCCTTCCGCTCACCACAGTTGTTGTCTGTAGGTGCTTTGATGGGGTTCCAGTTGTTAGGGACTCAGTACAACAGACCCTAACCCTGCCGGGTCCCATGATTATTCCTGCGCCTGAGCCCCTTGACGCAGCCACTGCGTCCCTCCAGCCTGTCAAGGGCCTTCCTCTCCTTTTCTCTAGAAATCCCTCTCCTTTCTGAAGCATGTCCTTTCCCAGGGACTTGTTGCTCCTGAAAACCTGCCCCAGGTCCGCGAGACGACGTCTTGCCAGGCTGGCCTCTCTGGGGCACTCTGGCAGATCTGTTGTTCTTTTGGCAGCCCTGGGACTTTCCATCTTCTTGGCCAACACCATCCTTCACACGCACCTATTCTTCTTCAGGCGTCCTCATTCAACGTCCACCTTTCACGCATGTATGAGACGAGCCTGCACCGTCAGGTACCCATGACCCTGATTCCTGGGCTCGCCACCTCCTCTATGGGTGGACACTGCTGGTTTCTGATTTCTAACACGACACCTCTTCGGCAACCTGCCCATTTCTCTTAACGTGGAGGCTGCCAGCTTCCTGTGTGGCGACCCTTGTGCTGCTGGGATCCACTGTGGGCCCACCCTCCTGCTGAGGATCGGTTTCCCTAGGCATTGACCTCGGGGTTCGCCCACTTTCTCCTCTTCGGGCGATGCTGCTGGGATCATCTGAGCATATCTCCCGGTGCACGGATCAGCCAGCTTCCTTGGAGAATGACTGCTGGGTTGTAAGCTCTGGCAACTGAGGAATGCCGTGTTACCCTGGGAGCCAGGAGCTCTGTGCACGGCCGTCTGGGTGGATCCCCCAGGCCTGGGGGAGGTGCTCTTCGAGAGGGGGGCCTGGAGTCCCAGGGGACGTCAAGTCAGGAAACCACCAGCAGCATGCTCTCTGAGGTGCCCCCGTCCGGCTCTGCGGTGGGAGCTGAAGACGGGGCCGGGGGCCGGGGGCCCGGGACGCGGAGCTCACCGTTGACGCAGCCCAGCTCGTCGCTCAGGTCCTTGCAGTCATACTCCCTGTCGCACTGCCGGCTGCCGTGGACGCAGGTCCCGTCCCCGCACCGGAACTCGTCGGGCCGGCACGTGGCCACGGCTGGAAAAGACATGGGCAAGAGAGAGGGTTGACACGGGTTTTCCTTTCACAGGTGTGTGTCCCCCAGCCTTGCCGGCCCGTTTCCTTGTCTGTGAGGCACGGGAGCAGGTGAAGCTATCTCAGGGGCGAGTAAGCAACTGTGTCCTGTTTCAGAACGAGCACGGGCACCACCACCCGGCGTGTTCTACAGCCACCAACAACGTTCCAAATGAGTTGGTGGTGTGCTGTCTGAGCTGATTCTGACTCAAAGCGACCTCATGTGACTAGCTGCCTCTCATGTGACAAGGCAGAACTGTCCCCTATAGGACAAAGCAAAACCGCCCAGGGGTTTGCAAGCTCCTAAACCTCTCCAGAGGCCGACACCCCCATCTCTCTCCCCCCGAGTGGCTGGTGGCTGGGGGGTTTGAAATCCCTTGGGGTTACTCTCAGAGCTCCTCAAAACCAGGTCTGATGCACACGGTGATTTTAACGACCACAGGAGAACTGACGACATCCGGGTCATGCTGAAAACCCCTCCCCTCCAACCCAGCCAGCCCCCCAGAAAAAGAACACTATCTCTGGATTCACGGTGCTTCTGACACGTGAAGAAGCCGTTGTCATCTAGTCTGTGACTCCTGCAGAGCCCACGTGTCGGCATCGGAGAGTCATTAATCTCAATTTTCCTCGGCGGCCGCACCTCCGAGCGGGCTCACACCTGCAACCTTTTCGTGAGCAGCTGAGCGCGACCACGGCTGGTGCCACGGGAGCCCTTGCTAAGGAGTCGGCGCCCGTGCGCCAAACCGAACTCTAGAGAGAGCTCAGACTGTTACCGCTCTGCCCTGAGCTATGAGCGCCAGGTCAGGGCTTTGAACCCAGCAGGGACTGGCTCCCTGGAATAAAGATGTGGCTCAGGGAGAGACTGTGCCTCTGGAAACTAGTGTCCTAGAGCAGCAGTTCTCAGCCTTCCTCCTGCCGCCACCCTTGCATACAGTTCCTCATATGGTGGTGACCCCCAACCCTGACATTATTTTCATTGCTACTTCATCACTGGCATTCTGGTACTGTGATGAATCAGGCGATCCCTGTGAAAGGGTCGTTCGACCCTCAAAGGGGTCAGGACCCACAGGTTGAGAACCGCTGTCCTAGAGGGTCGCTGTGAGTCAGAAGCTTGTTTCAGGTCCCTCATCTCTGGAGATCTTAGGCGCCACCTGCCATGGGGCCACTCAACTTGAAATGGAGTAAAACCTAAAATCCCCTGCTGCCGGCACGTGCTCGGCAGCCACAGGGGACTGGACCTGCCCCACAGCCAGCCCAGGGCAAGGCTACTAGACACCATTCGCTGCATGGGCGGAGACCGTGCATTGGGGAGAGGGAATCCTGAATCAAGGTCACGCAGGCCCAGCCTGGGACCAGGATCGTTCCTGGGCGGTTGATACTACTGTCTCCCTCACACGATCAGCACGGTTTGGGGGTGGGGAGGGCTCCCTGAACGCCTAGAGAGGATGTCTGGGAGCCCCTTGGTACTCAGGAACTGGCCCTACCGCAGCCTTCCTCGTCGGACTTGTCTCTGCAGTCAGGCCCGCCGTCACAGTGCCAGCTGGCATGGATACACTCCCCGCTGCCACAGTGGAACTCCAGGGCGGAGCAGGGCCCCTTGTCTTGGCTCTTGCAGCCCCACTCGTCCGAGCTGTCCTCGCAGTCGGCATCGCCGTCACAGGTCCAGAGCTCAGGGATGCAGGCAGAGGAGTTGCACTGGAAGTGGGCAGGGCCGCACGTGGTCACAGGGCAGTTGACCTCGTCAGAGCCGTCGTCGCAGTCCTCTTCCGAGTCACAGACGAACTGCGGCGAGATGCACTTGCCGTCCTGGCAGCGGAACTCGTCGCTGGAGCATGTCTTGGGAGCTGAGGGGTGGGAGGAGGAAGACCCAGTCACCATGGATACCCACCACCGGCCCCTTCTGCAGATAGAGAGGGTTGTCGTCCATTATGATGGCCCTTCTAGCCAGACTCCTTTAGAGGCCCTGTTAGAACTCTGGACCCCTTTTCCCAGTGTTTGACCATGTTCCGAAGTTCCGCATAAGGTTCTGGATTTGAACTGTGGTGCTGGATAAGAACGGACTGCTCAAAGGGCAAACAAAAGAAGTACGACCAGCGTGCTCCTTAGAGGCAAGGAGAACAAAACTTGGGGGGGGGGGGGAGTCCAACCTGTCAATCAAGTCACAGTCTGATGATGCATCCTGGGAGGTGTAGTCTTTTGATGAGAGACACACTGGGAACTCCTTTCGCCTGTGAGCTCCCTGCCTCCCACGTCACCCTTCTGCATCATGGGCCTGCAGCTCCGTGAGTCTGCAGAGGGCCCTGGCTAGCATGGGACTGCTGGACTTGAGTTGAACTGGGCTGGGATGCCTTCTTGACATCACGTCCTTTCTTGTACACGGACGGGTTTCCTGGTTGGCTCTCTAGACCACCCAGCCTGGTACAGGGGGATGGAGACCTGACCTTAAGTTGAGGGTGTGAACCAAGTGACATGCTTAGTTTTCCTTGGCAGGACAGTCAGCACAGCCATCCCTCAGGATATAAGAGCCATGTGGGACACAGAGCAAGGTCCCAGGGCCCTGGAAGAGCACCTCTAAGAACCGAGACCAGATGTGTCAGCGATTGTGGCACAGAAACTCGGAGGAGGAGCAGCGCTGAAACGATGGGGTACCTTGTCCTCATTTGGCCTGAGATTATGGGACTGGGAGGCGGAGCAACAGGCTGGCTTCCTGGCCTATGGAGGCCACGGCCAAGGCCAAGGAACCACGTGGCTGAGAGAGTGAGGATCGGAGGGAGACTTGGCTGCTGCCTGTGGAGAGGTGTTGCTGTGGAGACGAACCCCTGTCTCCTGATCCTGCCTTGTGGTGCCTATTAACTTCCCTAGTAGACCCTCTGCATCCGGAGTATGGTCTGTGGGCCCTGTGTGGCGACGGCACTGACATCCAGCACCCAGTGGAGTGGGGTGGGCAGAACAGTTGGTGTCAGAATAGGTACAGCAGGCTGGAGGATGAAGGCACACCTAATCTCTCTGCCTCTTGGCCAATAGGGAAGCCAGAGGCGGTCAGGTATGGCCCCCTGCTGTCTACCACAGGGAGACGGTGCCAGGGAGTGGCCTGGCCTGAACAGCGTGCATATGGAGGGCACACAGGCTGATGGTCCAGGTCCTGCCAGCTGAATGGATGGCCAGGGTAGCACCCACCTGATTCTTTTTCAACATGGCCAAGCAGTAGCTCCTCTCTGTGCCCCAGATGCCTTCCGGGACAATTGTGAGGACACTGTGTCCAGCTCTTAGGCGGCCGGCACACAGCCAGACAGGAACCAAGACCCCACAACCGGCTCCCAAATGCCTTCTGGCTAAGAATTCTGGGCCATATTGCTGCTCCCCACCCCCATCTTCTTCTTTAATAAAAAACAGAGAAAACAAAACACTGGCTCTGACCCGCCCACATTTTCATGGGCACAATTTAGTGACAAGGATTATGGTCACCAAATCACACACCCAACACTAGTACCATTTCCTGTTTTTTCTCAGTGCCCCGGAAGCAGTGATTCTACCACTGCCCCCTTCCTCCTGCCCCTGGTGACTGGGTCGTCCCCCATTATTGGTCTCCTTGCACACAGGACCTTCTAGCCCAGTGACACTCTCTGAGTCCCAGTGGTTGGTGGGTGGTTGGGCTAGAGGAGGCAGCATGGCACCCCTGCTCCTGGTCAAGGTATGCTTTGATAGACATGCAAGGCAGCCTGGGAGGAAAGCCGGGCCGCCCATCCAGACGCAGTGTACGTGTGTGCACCACACCCCGGAAGCCCAGACAGGGCCGAGCCACCCTGTGGGGGGGGGGGGGGTCCAGACTCACTCACCACAGTCTAGTTCATCTGAGCCGTTCTCACAGTCCACTTGGCCATCGCATCTCCAGAACTGAGAAATGCAGCGGTTGATGCGCCCCCCACAGCTGAAGTCCTCGGCCTTGCAGGTGACAGACGCTATGGGGGAAACGGGACCAAACTTGAACTCAAAGAGAAGACTAGTCCACCTCGTCAGCCCCATCTTTGCAAAATCCACAAAACTCAATGCCATCGAGTCAGTCCTGACTCACGGAGACCTGGGGAAGCAGGTGGGGACTGCCCCATGGGTGTATGAGGCCGTCATACTTTCACTGGAGCACAAAGCCATTTTCTCCCAAGGGCCCACTGGTAGCATCACACTCTTGACCTTGCTATTAGCAGCCCAATGTGTGATGCACGACACCACCAGGCAGGGCTCCTGTCCTAGTTCAATGTTCTCTCCCTGCCTCCCAGGGAGCGCCATCCACCCATCCGTCTAACCAACCAATCATCCACCTATCTACCTATCTATCCACCCATCCACCTATCTATCCATCCATTCATCTAACCAATCACCCAGCCAGCCACCCGTACATCCATCCACCCATCCATCCATCTAACCAACCAATCATCCATCCATCCACCTAACCAACCAATCATCCATCCACCCATCCATCCATCTAACCAACCAATCATCCATCCATCCACCTATCCATCTAACCAACCAATCATCCATCCATCCACCCATCTAACCAACCAATCATCCATCTATCCATCCAACCATCCATCTAACCAACCAATCATCTATCCATCCACCCATTCATCCATCTAACCAACCAATCATCCATCCATCCAACCATCCACTGGCCACCTTGCTCCTCCTCTCCCACCTGCCATTATCACAAAGGGTGGGAGGGGGTGAAGGGGTGGTCGGGACTCACAGCACGTCTCCTGGGACTCGTCGGAGCCATCCGGGCACTCGGCCTTCCCGTCACAAATCCACTTGTAGGAGATGCATTGCCCGTTTCCACACTGGAACTCATTTCTTAAGCAGCTTTCTCCTGAGAGACAGAAGGAAGCGGGTGGAAGAGCCATCCGTGCCAGGTCAGACACTGTCTGCAGTCACCAGCCTGGCTGCTGCCAATGGAAGGAGGAGCCAGAAAGAACCCGATGCCCAGGAAAGCAATGGCCTCATATTCATGTGAAAACTGAACATTGAACGTGGAAGACTGAACTGTGGTGCTGGCGAAGAAAACTGAGAGCTTGGTTCCTGAGAGGCCAGGATGGCGAGATTTCGCCTCATGCACTTTGGACACGTTGTCAGGAGAGACCAGTCCTTGGAGAAGGACATCATCCCTGGCAGAGGGGAGGGAAGAGGAGGAAGATGCCCTCAAGGAGACAGATTGACACAGTGGCTGCAACAATGGGCTCAAACATAAGACAACAATTGTGAGGATGCTGCAGGACCAGGCAATGGTAAGTGTCTAGATGACAATTAACAACGACATCATCACCCAATCAAGGAGCTTTGGTGGGGCTATGAGCTATGTGTTTGGGTTGCTAACCACAAGGTCAGCAGTTCAAACCCATCCACCACTGTGTGGGAGAAAGATGAAGTCTTCCTGCTCCAGTAAAGATTTACAGCCCTGGAAATCCACAGGGACAATCCTTCTCTGTCCATAGGGTTGATAAGAGTCCGAATGAATTCAATGCAGTGAGTTTATCACCACACAGCCTCCAGGTTGCCTGTGGAGTCGTCTTTATCTCCCAGCCTGGACTCATCAGCCCAGAGCTGAGCATCCGCATGCGTCTGAATGAGCACGCCACACTAGGGAAGGGTTTGGGGAGAGGAGTACTCTTTCACCCTCCATCTTTCAGGGGAATAACGAGGTGGAATCAGTCCGTGATTGAAATATGTGGGCCCTGGGAGAAGCATAGCACGTGTGCTCAATGGACCACCATGGAGAGCCAATAAAGTCTCTCTCACCATAGGCAAAAGGAGGAAACAACAGCTGCGGCAGTTTAAGATCACCAATCCTGGGAGGCTCCCTTGAAAACCCAAAGCCCAGCACCCCTCTCCAGGTGAGGGCTCACTGCAGTGACTTGCTTCTAACAGGACAGGGTGGAAGGGTGTGTGGCCCCTGAGATGAAGTCCCAAAGGACACTTCTGCGTGTTGGCTGTTGAATGGGAATGTCAACTGCACACGCCACGCCTGTTTGCTTTCCTTTACATACCACTTTAGTCTTTTCTTTTTCAAAGCATATCTTCATCTTCAAAGAAAAAGAAAACAGTGAGCTAATGGGAAGTCAGTAACTATGCGTTGTCGGTAGGCTCTGGCTCACAGTGACCCCTGGACAATGGGACAAAGCGCAGCTTGGTCCTGAGCGACCCTGAGCACATTGTGGGAACCGCTGTGTCGACTCATCTCGGTTTTTCAGACTCTCAGCTGTCTACTTCTGTAGAGAGTTCCACCCTGCCCTGGAGGGTCCCTGTGAGTTGAAATTGACTAGGCAGCAACTTGAGTGGTGATGCCTTCCCAGGGGGCGAAAGATGAGGCCTTCTACTCCCATACAGGTTTCATCTCGGAATTCCACATGGATTTCGGAGTGTAAGATACGAAGTAATAATAATAATAATAATAATAATATAGAATTGATCAAGACTTCACGAGGGTGGGAGTGTAGGGGAGGGAGGGGAAAAATGAGGAGGTTACACTAAGGGCTCAAGTAGAAAATGTTTTGGAGATGATGATGGCAACGTATGTACAAATATGCTTGATACAATTGATGTATGGATGTTATAAGAGCTGTAAGAGTCCCCAACACAATGATTTAAAAAAAGGAAAGAAATCCACATGGGCAGTTCTACACTGTCCTAGAGTGTCCTTTGGAGTCGGAATTGACTCGGTGGCAGTGAGTTTTTATTCTCCCAAATGGCCTTAGTTGACTTTAGTCCTTCTAATTGGGATAGATAGGGCCAGAGAGCCCCAGACACCCATGAAAATTCCACCCACCCTTGATCCTGCACCTGGATTGGGGGCAGGGGAGACTCAGACGATCCAAGACTGAGAGCCCAGTTGGGTGTATGTCCTGTGGTTTAAAAAGCAGTGTCCCATCACAGGTGAGCGCACCTGTCCCCAGCTGGTAGGAAGGGTTTTCCACCGTTCATTCGGACTCAACACAGGGGCCCTAGAGGACAAGATGAAACCGCCCCAGAGGGGTTCTGAGACTGTTATTCTTAACAGGAACAAAAGGCCTCGTTTTCCTTCTTCAGAGTGGCTGGTGGTTTCCAACTGCTGACCTTGCAGCTAGCACCCAAGACAGAGCGAACTATGCCACCAGGGCTCCTCCCACAGCCAGCAGGTGTTCGGGCAGGGGGAGGGAAGCTAAGTGGTTTCTGATTATCCGTGATCTGATGTCAGCCACGACCTTTTGACGACTTGGGGAAGACCCCACGAAAAGACCACCTCTCTCTGGACTTGAGGGAGCACCGTTGAGCTGTCCTTCTGATTGCTTTTCCCTGAATGAGTCTTTTCTTTTTTTAACAAGTTCAATCCTTTGGCTAGTTTTTTAAATAATCATTTTTATTTTTGAAATGTTGTTTTCATTCTTTCTTTTTTCAAGTCATTATTTGAGTTATCAGGCAGCAAGAAATCTGATTTGGCATTTTGGATAAAGGGGCCGAGGGAAGAAAGACATGGCTCTTTATCTTGGGTGGTGCGACTGTTTAAACGCGGGGCTACTAACCCACCCAAAGGCACCTGGGAAGTCGGGCTTGGTGATCTGCTTCACACCAATGAAGCAGAATTCTACTTTGCATACACGGGGTCTTCATGAGTCAGAACCAACCTGATGGCAATTGGCACCCATCTCGACTTTGGTGGCTTGCTTGGCACTTTTGTGTCGCTTCCCAGGCAGGCAGTGGGCTGAGCTGGCTGCCTCACCAGCTACTAGAGCTGACTGAATGGCTTCCCAGGCCCCTCAACTAGAATGACTTGGACAACTGCCTTGATCCTTCTGGGCCCTTGGTTTCTTTCTCTCGAAAATGGGGCAATAGTGTGTTTGTATGCTGTCTGTCAATTCCAACTCAGGGGCTCCTTACAGGACAGAACGGAACGGTCACATGGGGTTTCCAAGGCCGTAAACCTCTGCTGACCTTTTGGTTAGCAGCCAAGAGCTCTAACTACTGCATCAAGAGCCGCCCCTATTTCCTAGAACCTGTTGTGAGTAGCTCTGCCTAGATCAGCGGTTCTCAACCTGGGGGTCGCAACCCCTTTGGTGGTCAAACCACCCTTTCACAAGGGTCGCCTAAGACCATCGGAAAACATAAATACTTCAAAATATTTAATTACATATTGCTTTGTGATGAATCGCTATGCTTTAATTATGTTCAATTTGTAACAATAAAAATACAGCCTGCCTATCAGATATTTACATGATGATTCAAAACAGTAGCAAAATGACAGTGATGAAGTAGCAACAAAAATAATGTTATGGTTGGGGGTCAACACAACATAAGGAACTGTATTACGGGGTGGCAGCATTGGGAGAGTTGAGAACCACTGGCCTAGATCATAGCTTCCCAAGCTTACTGGAATACGGCCCCCCCAAAAAATTACTCAGTGCCTCCAAGGCAATGAAAAACCTTTGCACTATAGCATCATTCAGGATAAAGTACTTTAGAAAGCATTCTGCCATGGAGTTGATGTCGACTCCTAGCGACCCTATAGGACAGGGTAGAACTGCCCTTGTCAGTTTCTGAGACTTTGGTAACTCTTTATGGGAGAAAGCCCAATCTTTCTCTCAGAATAAAATATAGCTATCTGCTTTTGCAGCCCCCTTGGATATTTCCAGCACCCCTCCCCTCCACGAAGGGGTGGGGGATTGCCAACTTGGGACAACACTGGCCTGGATCCTTAAAATAAAACTCAGGTGGTGTGTTCATTTAATAGACTACTACTGAGCGATACAGGGTAAATGAATGATGCCGGCAAGGAAACAGGGCCGTTTAGAGCCCAGGTGACAAGGGAGGAAGCCTGGGGGGTGGGCAAGACAGAGAGGAAGGCAGAATGGGGTGAGTTGAGCTTTGGAATCAGCTGTGCTCAAAGACACCATTGCTCAATGACTGATCCCCGGGACAGGATGTGTCCCTCAGCAGTGCTTCCACAATGCACCCCCACACCCCACTGACTCACAGCTGAACCAACCGTACGAGGAGGAAATGACTCATGCTTCTCTACTCTCTAGCAAAAAAAAAAAGGGAGAGAGACACAAAGCATTTGTAATTCTGGGACTCTCCCAAAAGATAATAATAAAGGAGGAAGTGGCAGGCAAAAAGCATTGGCCCTGAGCAGCTTAGAGGAGGGACTTCAATCACCCCACGGCTAGTCCACCAGTCATGGCAAAGCTACCATTCGCCCTCTAGTCTCCCAGCCTTTGCTTAAGGACCCAGTGAGTGTGTCACAGGCAAAACCACGAACATCAGCGAACACCTTAAAAACCAGAGCAAGACAGCAGACCGACCCCAGAGGGTGACCTCCTTTCTGGAAGCAGACTGGCCCTGTGCTCTCCTATGGTGTGGCTGATGGGTTTGAACCCTTGACTTCTGGGTTCACTGTCCAGAGCTGAACCATTGTGCCACCAGGGCTCCTTGGAGTAAACACCTTTAAGGCCCCTTTGAAGAGGCATAAAGAATAGAACCCCTTCTCTAGCCATCAAGCGCCTCCCTCACCCCAACACTGACTAGCCATAGGTGGGGAAATAAGACCCTGGACCTTGCAGTGGAGGGGCCAATCTCCAATGGAGTGGAGGGACAGTCCTTCACACCGGTGTCCCCAGATCAGTCCAGACCTTCCTGAGCAAGGGGAACTAGTCTTGATGGAAATAACACAACCCAAAGAAATCTCACACCAAGCTCTGAACTCCAGCCCCCTCCGACTCCGGGTGTCACGGGTGAGAAGCCATGAACAGGTTATAGAAACAGAAAAAGGAGACTAAGCACTTCTGCTTTTTGTCTGTCGGCTTGCAAATGCAGTGGTGGCTGTTCTCCAGGATTTCTCTGCCCCAGAGGCTGACGGAACTTTTGCTGTTCCGAGGAATTATGACAGCGGGGCAAAGCGTAAAGAAAGGAATGGCTGGAAGTCTTTTGGCCGGTGCTTTGTTGGGAAACAGGTGGGCTGGGAGGTATTTCCCCCACAGGTGAGCTAGATCGTGTCTTGACTAGATCAGGTCTTGCCCACTCTTTCGGGGGAAGAGGTCACCTGTCTCTTACAGACAGTTTACTGCCAGCCTTGATTACTACCAGTCTCTTAGCAACAAGGGCTAGGCGAAGTACACATGCTGTCAAGGGGCAGAATGTGGAATGTGAGGGGAAGGCGTGTTCAGGGCCACGAAAGTATCCGGGATTGCACTTTATAGGGGAGGAACTGAAGCAGCACTAACAGCAGGAAAAAAAGAGAATGATGCATACAGCCTGTCACCTTGATTCTGACTCACAGGGCCCTATAGGTCAGGGTAGAACTGCTCCCATAGGATTTCCAATGTTGTCATCTTTGCAAACACAGTCCGTCCCCCAACTTTCTTCAGCAGAGGCACTGTTGGGTTCAAAACACCATTCTTTCAGCTGGCAGCCAAGCACTTAACTGCTGGGCCTGAATGACCCATAATCTACCTGGTCTCCAGAAAGCTCTTCCCGTCTTTGGCCAACGTTCCCTGGCAGAATAGTGGCAGGCGATGGCAGATGAATCCCCTGGGGGGGGGAAGATAGCTACAGCAGGCTGACTTGGACTTCAGTGTGGCCTTGCCTCACACAAGCTGATTCTGATAGAAGTGAAGGAGTGCATCCCACCTCTCAACCCCCTCTGTTCACAGCTATTTCCCAGAAAAGGCCTTGAAGACAGCCAAGGGGCAAGCTGGGGCGGCTAGGGTGGCCCACACAGGAGGTTAACAAGCAACTGCCAGCTCTCAGAAGACCAGGCAGTGTAGTGTGTAGCCTCCTTGGAAACAGAAGACCAAGCGCATCAGCAGAGAGGAAACTACAATGAGGACACCCACCACCTTGCACAAGACTTCCCAGCAATATTTCTTCTGATCGAGTGAGGTTCCTTGCAAGCCAGGTTTCATGCAAATGGGCGGGGCCCAAGAATCCCCTGCAGTGTTTGTACCCGGTCCGCCCCTCTCCTCCCCATAAGTTGATTTCACTCAGGTAGATTCCAGAAACTGGCTCAAGCCCACGCCCACCCCACCCCACCCCTGGCAATAGACACTTAGCCTCCTGGGCAAGGAGTTCATTAGATAGCAGCACTGTCCCACAGGCCGAGCTGGCCCTCCCAAGCAGGCAGGGGACGGGCCATGTAGTTGTAGTCAAGGGCTGGGCGGGCTGCCTCTACAACGTCCCAGCAGAGCAGGACTCAGGATCACGCACTCCCTAGCCTAGCTTCTTACCCAAATCTGCACGGGAAGCTCCCTCCCGCCCCGCAAATAAAACGTTCATCTGAACAGATGACCATCCCGGGCACAGGTCGCGGGCCTGCTGCTGCGCACCGGATCCGGGGAGACTGGGCCCGAGGGGTTCTGGAAAGTGCACGCAGCCATTCGCCGGGGACCCTTCAGGGGCGGGAGAGTTGGGGAGGGAACGTTTCCGCCTTGCAACGGGCGAGGCCAGCCCTGGACACGGCGGTGAATGTTTCCGGGACGGGCGCCCCCAAGGACCCCGTCCGGACGGAGGCCTCGCCACGGAGCGGGCCCTCGGCGGCCGCCTGGCCCAAGTTCGCGAGGGGGCTACCGGGCTCAGGATGTGTCACCTCCTTTGTTGGCAGGCGACCACCCCAGAAGCGACGACGCCTCGCGGGTTTCCTTCCAGCGGACGAGGTCCAGCGCGAGCGCCCCCGGCGTGAACAATCTCCGCCCCGCGCCGCGCGCGCCTCCCCGGGCCCTGCCTCGCATTGGTCGAGGGGAGTGGCTCGAGGCTCGCATGTTCGAACCACAGCCAATGGGAATACAGGGGCGGGGTCTGGGGCGGGGCCGGAGGCGTTGGCCCGGGACACTGGCGCACGCGAGGTGCCGGGAAGGATGCGTCCCGCTTAGGGGGGTGGCGGCGCCCCAGGCTGGACAAAGCCAACGTTGCCGCCTCGGGATCCCCCTGCCCGCGGACCAACGCCTAGGGGACGGGGTGTGGGGGGCGCTCGCGAGGACCTCCAGGTGCGGCAGCTGGGCCACGGCCGAGGGTCTCCGACCGCCCAGGTCCTCAGGAGGACCCCGAGGGCGGATCCCTCTCGGCCGGAGGTCCGGTTCCGCCCAGTGGACCCGGCAGCTCCCCGAGCGCGCAGAGCCGCCTGAACCCCGCGCCCCGCCAAGTGCTCTTTACAAACGTCTGGGAAGGACGTCGGGTCAAGTCCAGAGGGAATAGTCACCTTGACACAGACACACGTGGATTCCCACGGCGCGCCCAGACGCACACGCACGGCACGCAACCCGCGCGCGCGCGCCGGCAGGACTTCACCGCGCCGAGCCGCGCGGGACGCCCGGAGCCAGCCTTACCTGCAGCCCCCGCCGCGGCGAGGAGCAGCGCGACGGCGCAGCGCAGCGCCCAGCCTCGCGGCCCCATGCTCTCCGCCCGCCCCGGAGTCCTCACGCCCGCCTGGCCCGCGGTCCGCTGCGTCCCGACTGGAGACCCGGGCTTCGTCCGCGCGGCCGGGCGGCGACTGCACGCGGGACCCGAGTGCTTGGCAGCCTTTCAACGGGCGCTTCCCCGCAGGGGCGGAGTCTGCAGTGGGGTGATTTTCAAATATCTTCGGCTCGCCGAGGGAGGAGGAGTTTGCAACGCCCGACGTGACATCGCCTCCTTAACCCCTGAAACCCTGACCGGGATGGCAGCCTGCCCCCGACGCGCCCAGGCAGGCTGCCCGCCGGGTTGTATTTTCGTCACCCACCGGTGGAGAGCTCGCTGCCTAAATTGGAAATGCTCCTGGGAACGAGTCCTTGACTTGTAACCGCGGCCATTTCTCATTTGGCTGGTTAACAACTGCTCTGCGAAAATATCCCAACCAAGTTTCCCTCTGCTTCCAAAGGAAAAAAACTTGGGAGGGTTTGTTGGAAAAGCTTCCAACAAACTTGGGAAAAACTTGGGAGGTTTTGTTGGGAAACCTTGCCCACCATCTCTCCATTCTTGGTTTTTAACCTCTCCAGGAATCCTATCTACATAGCTTTTGACATTTTATTCTGAGTGTGTAGTTTGTGGAGGATTTCAAAACGCCTTATAAATCGGCCACCGACAGATTTATAGGAAACTCTTCGCGAGAGTACAGCCCAAAATCCTTTTATGTTTTTGTGGGATGAATTGTGAACCACACCACCTTTAAACGCAGCTAACACAGAATCCTGGGTTTGGGCATAAATATTGACATATCCTTTTAGGAAATGGGCTTGGTCCAATCGAAGGGCAATTTCAAGTCCCCACAGTTAAAATCCAAACACGCCACCGTTGTCAATATTGAACCCGATTGTCTCAAGCCGCAGGAGTGGTAAAAAGCAACTTAAAAAAAATAAATCATTTTATTGGGAGCTCGTACAACTCTTAACACAATCCAGACATCCATCCATTGTGTCAAGCACATTTGTACATTTGTTGCCATCATTTTCAAAACATTTTCTACTTGTACTTGAGCCCTTGGTATCAGCTCCTCACCCCCGCCCCCCAACCCTCACTAATTTATAAATTAAAGCAACTTTTAAGAATCAAAGCGTTTCTTTGAGGATTCGGCTGTTGCCAGAGGCCCTTTGCCAAAAAGGCACGTGTAGGAAGATCGCCCGCATCCTACAAATAAGGAACTAGCAGTGCTGCGAGGGTTCCTGGAATGAGCCTGAGTTCTCTCTGATTCTGCAAACTGCCTTTGGCAGGAAGTGCTAACCTCTCAGCAGGGTTGTGGTGAAACTCTAGCAAGGAGGCAGAAAATAAGCTGAAAGGGGGCCACTGAACCCTGGGAAAGAAGGAGCGAAGCATCCCAGGGAGGCATTTACCAGCAGAGTGCTCTGCACTTCCCCTCCAGAGCTGCCGGATCAGATAGACCCTGGGGGGATGGATGCCTTCCTCCCAACAGTAAGGAAGATAATGCCTGCTTCTTTCTCATTTGGCAAGTTCAGCGTCAACGAAACCTTTAAGCGGTCACCTAAGGGAAAGTGTACAGGGCTGGGCACGTTCTGGGAGGGGTAACAACAACAGTTTAGGAAGGTGTCACCATTAAATTCTGTTCCTATGCCACTGGCCCTGTGATTTTTTTTTTTAAGCCCCGGGGTGGGGGATGGGGGTGGGGGGGTGGAAGAGAGAATGAGGCCAATTACACGGGATTTCTGTTTCAGGCCCAGCCCACCTTCGTGGGGCCTCTTTTTGCCCCAACAGCCCTGGAAAAGGTGACCAAGAAGGGGATCGCTTCCCAAAAGAGACTTAGCTTACTCAGATCCCCCCACCCCCTTCCAGAGGGCAGGTCTGGGAAAGGACCCCAGTTCAAATCTGAAAAGCACATTCCTGAGATGCCAAGGCCCAACTCCTCCCCTTCTACCCCCTGGGAAATCTCCCACCCCTTTCAGGGTCCCTTCTCAGGCAGCCACATGTGGCCAAATACTAACCTGAGGGCAGGGCATGGGCTCTTCTAGAAGGGGACCCCACCCCCACCCGGAGTCTGGGTGCGGTTACCAGCAATGCACCTCATGTACAACCGCGGAGGCGTGTGGGTTGCTGAACAGGTTTCAATAGAGCCTTCCAGAGATGAGGAAGAAGAACTCAGGATTCTTTCTACTTCACCCAATCGGCCAATGAGAATCCTGTGGTCTGACATGCAACCTCCCAGGGCCATGGTGCCCCTTTCCTTCCTTTGTGCAGACAGCAGGGACCATTCTCTTGATCACATGGGATCCTTAAGAGGATTTGTCACACAGTGCAATACTCACGACCCAACCCACTTCCCCCAAAGCCAAACCCACTGCCATTGAGTTGATCCTCACTCACAGCGACCCTATAGGACAGGGTGGAACTGGCCCTGTGGATTTCCCAAAGTGGAACTCTTTACAGTGACTGGACCAAAAAGAACTAGTGGACATTCCATCCTTTCAAAAGGTACCAATGGTAAGAACCAGTGGTGCTGAAGGAAGACGTTCAAGCTGCACTGAAAGCATTAGCCAAACACCAATGGAAATGTTTCAACAAGCTGATGAAGCACCAGAAGCATTTACTCATCTATGCCAGGAAATCTGGAAGACAGTTACTTGGCCAATGGACTGGAAGAGATCCCTATTTGTATCCTTTCCAATGAAAGGTGACTCAACAGAATGCTCAAACCATAGAACAATGTCATTAATATCGTATCTAAGTAAGATTATGGTGAAGACCATTCAACACAGTTGCAGCAGCGCATTGACAGGAGCTGCCAGAGGTTGGATTCAGAAGAGGACCTGGAACAAGGAATCTCATTGGGATGTCAGGTGGATCTTGGCTGAAAACAGAGAAAAGCCAGAAAGATGTTTTGCCTGTGCTTCATTGACTATGCCAAGGCATTCGATAGAGTAGAACATCACAAACCATGGGTAACCTTGAGGAGACCGTAAATTCCAGAACACGTCATTGTGCTCATGCAGAACTTCTATGTGGATCAAGGAGCAGTCATGTGGACCAAACAAAGGAATGCTGCATGGTTTAAAATCAGGAAATGTGTGCATCAGGGTTGTATCCTCTCGCCATACTTACTGAATCTGTATGCTGAGCAAATCATCAGTGAAGGGAAATGAGGCTTCAGGATTGGAGGAAGGCTTATGAACAACCTGCGGTATGCAGATGGCACAACTTGCTTACTGAAAGTGAAGAGAGGTGGACGCATTTGCTGATGAAGATCAAGGACGGCAGCCTTCTTTACATGGACCACAGCTCCATGTAAAGAAGACCCAAATCCTCACCGCTGGACCGATAGGTAACATCCTGATCGATGGGGGAAAAGAATCAAGTGGTCAAGGATGCTGCCTTGCTTGGATCCACAATCAGTACTCATGGATGCAGCAGTCAAGAGATCACAAGATGCATTGCACTGGGTAAATCTGCCACACGACCTCTTTAGAATGTCAGAAAACAAGGATGTCACTTTCAGGACTATGGTGCCCCTGACTCAAGCCATGCTATTCTCTCTCTGCTGCATCATGTACCGGTGAAACAGTGGACATTGCGTAAGGAAGACTGAAGAGGCACCGATGCCTTTGCATTGTGAGACTGGAGAGAATATTCAAAGGACCATGAACTGCCAAAAGGAAAAACCAATCTACCTTGGAAGACGTACTGCCAGAGTGCTCCTGAGAGACAAGGATGGAGACACTGAGCTTGCGTCATTTGGCCAAGTTGTCAGAAGAAACCAGTCCCTGGAGAAAGACCTCACATGTGGTAGAGTAGAGAGGCAGCGAAAAAGAGTAAGGCTCTCAAGAAGGCACACGGACACTGAGGCACCAAGGAGGAGTTTAACCATGGGAACAATTGTGAAAATGGCGCAGGACCAGGAAGTGTTGCTTTCTGTTGTGCAAAGGGTTGTGCAAAGGGAACCGACTCAATGACAACAGCCCCCACCACAACCCTTTCACTCGCTTCTGGAAAGATGTCCAGCCTTGGAAACCCCACGGAGCAATTCCACTCTGCCCTCTGAAGTGAATGAGTTGCTAGGAGCTGGAAGGGACTCGCCAACGATGGGTTATGGAACCACCAGCGTTTCTGGGTGAAGTTCAGGTGCACTCAGATGCTGACTGAGAGGTTGGCGGTTCAGGTCCCCCCAGAGGGACTTCAGAAAATCCAGCTGTTGAAAGCCCAGTGGAGCACAGCTTTACCCTGACACCCATGGAATCGTGAGGCGTCTCACTGGAGCCAGCTGACAGCAGCCGGTATGTTACCACCACCGAACTCCAACGAGCGCGTGTTGGCTGCCCTTCCTTGTAGGACAGGGCTGACTGTGGCCCTCTCAGAACATGAGGACATTTTTCAGATCTGGTTGAGGGAAGAGTCTTCTTGGCAGAGGTGCAATGACATGAGGTAAGAGGACAGCCGACGTGACTGTGTGAGGTGGGTTGGCAGGAAGACATGGGCCGAGAGGCGGCACAGCAGGTCATTCAAGGCCTAGTGGCCCATGGTGCTGACATTACCTTTAGCCCTAAGTTGAGGTGGAAGTTCTGGAGGGCCGCCCTCTGACTCAGGTGTCCGCAGACTCTCTTAGGGAACTGTGGGGGGTCAGAGTGGGAGCCGAAGGGTCAGGGTGGAGGCGCCTGTTCTGTTCCAAGTGGAACACGACAAGGCAAAACCGGAGGGACTCTGGAAGGGATGAGGGATTGTTCGACTCTGTTTGCATTTTGACGGAAATGCTATTAGGCTCCCATCC